GGAAAAAAGGCACTTTATGATATGAAAGTCGGTCGCAGATTGCCGTAAGGGCAAAAATTCCATTCCAATTACTATATCGATGCAACCATCGAACATTTTCAACAGAACACTTCAAATTTAACGAGACCGGGTAATATTTTTAGATTTGATTGTAAAAAATGAGCACCGCAAAGACCGCGTTTCAGAGATGGAGATGATGAGCGAAAAAAATGCGACAAAATTAAATAAAATACCACAAAGTGAATGTACTCAATTGCTAAAATCTTGAAGAAAAAAATGCCTGCAGTGATTATCGTCTTGATCTGTCGGCCCGAACTAAGCCATTGCAATTTCGAACAAACATTTTACTGATGAGAAAAATTGAATTTTTTGTTGTTGTTGTTAGTTTGCACCCTTTCGAATGTGCCCCTTATAATTTTTCACTCTGCTCTCATTTTCTGTCTTCTGGATTACGAGAGTAGGGCACACAGCACGGCGACATGAAGGATATTCAATGCTCTTTTTTTATTGAAGCAACGAAATGGTAAATTTAATTTGGAAGTTCGGGAGAGAAAGAAAAAGTCTGCCACATTTTAAATTTAGGTTAGTGGGATTATTTTTTTTTATAAATATTTTCACGTTTGTCCAAATGTTCTATTTAGCGATTTAACAAGTGTTTTCTTTTTCTTCACCATTTCAATGAAGCCATTGAAATAATTAGCTGTGAATCTGAAGTGGGCTAATGACTAGGCTAATGAAGATGGGATTTTTTTTTCGTGGAACAATTTTTTTTCTTTCGGCCGCGGAAATGTTTATAACTTCTATGTATATTGCAAAAAAAAATGCATAGCATATTAGATACAGTTATGAACGGGTTTAACACATTTCTTAGTTCATTGTATTCAACGGAAAAAAGAAGAAGCACATTTTCTTCGCTCCTGGTATGGCAACAATCGTAACTGATCTTTTCTTATTCTATTTTTATAATCTTGATATGCTAACTGCATTCAAAGCCTTTTCTCATTCTTTACGTTCCATTATGCAACACCAAGCCCACCATGGACCATACAACGGGATGAGGCTCGCCTTTTAAAGAAAATACGAAAAAATTTAAATTTTTCCAGATCGCGCCGCGTGTAAATCGAAAAAGGGCAACATAATAACACGCACCGAGAGAGAAAAAGAGAGAGAGAGAGAAAGGCACAGCAAATGGTTGGCGCGCTCGCCCATGATTGTGACGACAAAGAATAAGAGATATGTGTCATAAGATAAGATTACTTTTTATCGTTTCTCATTTTCGGAATGTGAGTTCGAATCCGTCTAGTACAAAAGTGAGAACAAATATGCGGTTCCGCGTACAACAATACAAACCATGATATCCACATATACCACGTGTAATCGCATATGTTCTACGTAATCGCGTATGTAATTTTTTTTTATGCGAAAGCGAAAAAATTATCTCTCATTCTCTCTCGCCTTTACACTCGTTTGCCTTTCGGCATGGATAAAATGTACGGCTTACACACACACACGTTCATACGAATTTTGGTTTTGTCGTATTTTCACAATGAGTTCAATGATACGGAGCTGATTTTTCTTTCTCCTATCACCAATACCTCGCGTAACGCTCCACAAAAATAAAACCAATTTTAAAATCGACAACGACACATTCACAAAACAAAGATATAACCCAAACGGAGCCAAATAAAGATAGAGAGAAAAGAAGAGGATTGAAAGAGAATAGGGTGACAAAAAAAAACATATGTATCACTAGTATAAAGTTAATTGTTTGAATAAAATAAAATACGTGCATTTTTTCATTCAAAAGCCGACGTTTTAGAATGGGTCCTAATGCCATCTCTTGATAAAGATCTAACTAGATTTATTGGCAAACTCATATGTGGTGATTGTTGTTATCGAAAATCACCAATTCGATACAAGCGGCTGTTAGCACCAAATTTATTTCCTTAATGTCGCCCAATTTTTGAGTTTCAAATTTGAATTTTCCAAAAAAGAAAAATGCTGAACGTTGACAATCTTTCAGTATGTTGATAATATTTTTTTTTTTGGAAAAACGCGGCCGCGAAGGAGCTATTGAAAAAAAAATCTTCGGAAACCTTTCCACGGACTAATTTATTTTTAAAAGACTTGCATATATCTCTGCTAAGCACATTTAAGACCTAATCAAATCAAATTTAGTTCCCTCGCGAAAAATGTGTGTTTTTTTAATTCCTGAACGAATTGTATCAATGTATTTTCGGATCAATGCATGTTCGAAACACCGTTTCACCCGTCACCCTACCGTTGATAACATAAATTTTGGCATTGAGTTTGCACCATAATTACGTAATATATGAATCGATTGCGGTTTGTTTTGTTCGCCATATAGCGAACGACTTAAAGGGAGCGATGATTTTTTCTCCTCAATCTCGGTTCTTTTTGCGTTCTGAATTTTATTGTAAATTATAAAAGAAGTATGAATCGCTTCATTCGAATCGTTTCGGTATTCGATCTCAGAATTGCACACTTCGACGAAGTGAGAAAAAAAATTACACCAACAGTAAGTATTAACGAATAATCCGTTTATAACGCTCGAAACGATTTCATTAAATTGCGTTCGATTGCTGCTTATGAGAGCATGTATGTTTACAGCACGTAATCGATTTTATATTTGGCTTATACAGTTCCATTCACTTTGCAGCTTTAAATCTTCATATTATTTTCGGTTTGTGTCGTACGACGCATAAAATACGCGTTAAACCATCATCACGTCTAAGTGTGTGTGTGTGTGTCATTTATTCAAAGAGTTTTTAGAGGCAAATAAATTTCCAAAATTACACGAAAAAAAAAAATGCGTGTTGAAGAGATAAAATAAAATGAGATCTATTTGGACATACAAACATATTTTCTTTCGGTATATTTTGTTTATTTTTGTCATATCCGCTCAATCCGTCCATTTTGAATAGTTTTTTTTATTGGGCTTATATTGGATGTGTTGTGCTTCAGGCTTTTATTGTGGATTATGGCCTGGTTAAGCTGACGATATGTTGAACTGGAAAGCAATTATTCAGATACATAAAACAAATAAGTTCTCTTTTTTTCGATTAATAAACAAAGAGATACATGGACAGAGAGCGAGAGAGAGAGAAAGAGAGAGAGTCGGGGAAAAAGTCATTGTAAACAATTTACATATATACAAAATGTGTGTCCACCTGTTTTTCTGGGCTATTAATAACAGCGACATCAAATTAATCCGAAGTGTATAGAGATTTAAGATGTGTCTACATTGTACAGTATAAATTTTATGTGTCGATATGGCCAATGTTTATTTTGTGGCGATTGGTTTGTATTTTCATGCAATCAACGAGTAAAACACAGAATGAATTATAGATTTTAAATGTGGCGTAAATAAATTAATTTTCAAACATATTTTTTTCCCAGTTAACAAATACAAACCAATCGGATCAAAGGGAACAGGAGAAGGAGAAGGAGAAAGAGAAAAAGAGAGAGAGATCGAGGCCGCGAAAGCGGCAATCAAATGAAAATCACTGAGAGAGAGTCTATATTCATTGCATTCGATATGGTTTATTATATCAAATTAAATTCAATTTTTTTTTGTTGTTTAACCGAAACACATGCTCAACGCTGTTCATACTGTTGCATTTCATATCATCATTTGTCATCTCAAACAATTTTTTTATGATTTTATTATTGCTCGGTGCACGTGTGCGTTTATGGTTTTTTGTATGTACGCTAGCGCGGAGGTCCTCCCTCATTTTTTTTCTGTCGTACCATGAGATGAAAATGTGTTTTTTTCTTCATTGCTCAAAGATGAAAATTAACGTAATGTCAATACCAGTGCATTCATCATTACGTGATTTTCGTATGAAAAGAAGCACAATTTTTATCGACAACGAAGACAGTTCGAAATGTGTCAGGCAATTGGCCGCAAATGATTGATTCAATTTATGATTTCGTTTATTCGCAGAAGAAAATATAATTTCCAATATCAAAGTGTGATGGTATGTGGAACGTCATAAAATCTCGAGATCACCACATTATTCCAAACAAAATGAATACGGTTTTTTTGGATGTTCAACATGACCGTGTGTTTGCATTAGAGGCCTCAACCCTTATTAATTGCCTTTGAGGAATTTTAATATAACCGAATCGAGATTTTTCCATAAATCATTCGATATTTTTCATCATAAGAACACATACACTTTTTTCCCGCTTTTATTTCATTTTGAGAATGTTATTAAATATTGAGTTTAGATGCGCCGCACAAACGACGATGACGACCATAACGAAAACCATCGATTGTTGTGTGGTGGTTCTTGTTCATATCATAAATTCGCCTAGTTCCGAAATTATGAAATTTCATTTTACGTTCACATTTAGGGAAAACATACGGTACACATCCGAAAGCAGAGATTTTGCATTGTGATTCACCCCGAGAAATCAAACATGTTATTACATTACTAATAACAACACAAAATAAACGATTAGGAACTAACAACGATGTGAATAACAGTATTCCGTTCAGTAAATGAATGAGAGCATGATACAGAATCGACAAACTCACAAATGCCAATTGTGATTAAATAAACAATAGCCACCGAACATGATTCCGTTTATATAATGACCGTTGCTGGTGAATTTGTGTGTGTGTGAATGAATTTTTGAAAGAAAAAATAAACATTTGAAGCGACAAATTCGAGTCAAAACAAATGCAACGATGACTCACACTTTGAAACGGCATTTCATCTTGATGGTATGAATTGGAGTAAGAAGGTAAGAGCATGTGAGCGCAAGTGAGACAAAGAAACAGAAATGAAATTGAATGAAAAGGAATGAATTGCGGTTGATGGTTAGAATGAGAAAAAAACGACAAACACTTCATTGAACGATGCGATTCATAAACAAAACTTATCAATACCGGACACACATTCGAATCTTGAAGCAGTTTAAATCAAAAGAAATTAGTCGCAATTTGATTCGAGTGTTGCAAAGACGTCACGATGAATGTGTTGAGTAAAAAGAGAAAACGTCCATCAGCTCAGCGATATCGAGGTAAGAATTTATTCGAAATCAAATTCAATTCAGTTTTCAATTCTCAAAAATTCGATTATTCATCTTCAATACGAATCTAATCGGTTGACCGATTTTAATTTAGATTACTTGGATTTCAATCGAATAAATCCGATTGGAGTTGAAGCAGCAGGCCAAGCACAAGGAATTTTGGATAATCAAAACAATGCAAATGAGTAATTATCAATCACTTCAAGCAAATTTCAAATCTTATGGCTTAAACTCTTTTTTCATTCCAAGATATTCGTTCACCACATTAGCGACTCGTGGAAATTCGGTCGTCAAACAATCAAGCACATACGTCAGTAAGTTATACGTTTGTGAAAAATCGATGCGAATCACAAAAATTGGTCGCTCGAAATCGATTTTCATGTTTCGGATGGTTTATTTTGCAGGCATCACATCTGGTCGAGGATATGCACATGGTGAAGTTGGAATTGCATACATTGATATCGAAAGTGTACGTTTACTATATTTTGCCAATGATATTGTAACATCATTTGGTTTCATTTAAATTCCATCATTTTAGCCATCGGTAAATTTGATTCAATTGAGCGATGACCCATGGTATTCTGCATTGTTGATGAAAATTCATATAATCGATCCATGCGAAATTATTTTACCTCACACGTTGTACGATGCAAAACCCGAAACAGCCGATGGAAAATTGATCAAATTTATACGCGAAGACTTTCCCAAATTACCGCTTATAACAGTTCCTCGGCGACATTTCAGCGAGACCGATGGTTTGACTTTGATCACAAAGTATTGCTCCGACAAATATAAATATGTTAAAGAGGAAATTGCATTGAAATACTATGCACTCTCGGCTGCATCAGGTTTATTGAAATATTTACAATTTCATCTCAACATTTATTTCAAAGAAAACGGTTTGAAATTGGATTTTGAGACAAAATTTGCGCATATGCAAATTGGTGAGTGTCGTTTATTTCGCATTGTTTATCATTTTGAGTGTCACTGACATTTGTTGCAGATATTGATACATCATACAAACTAGAACTGATGTCACAAAACAATCCGAATACGGTCAAAAGTAATTTTCCGTCATTGTACAAGATTCTGGATCATTGTAAAACATCACTTGGACAACGAACACTTCGTGCCCGCATTTTGGAGCCAATGTGTGATATAACCAGCATCAATGACATTCATGATTGTATTGCCGAACTAAATCAGCCTGAATATCAGCAGCTGAAAGAAGATCTCATATCCGTTTTAGGCCAATTCAATAATGTCGATCGATTGTACAAACTGGCTTTGGTTGTGCCACAAGATAATAACTTACGAGCAGCCGAAATACTCATAAATCAAGCGTTGCACTTGCAGAAATGTCTTGCGCTTGTGCCATCGTTGGAGGGTCGGCTAGTGCCATTGACGAGCAAAGTATTTCAGGAAATTAAAGTAAACCTCATGGATCAACGTTACGTTTCAATATTAAATCATATTGATACCGTGATTAATAAAAATATAATGCAGTTTCACAAAGACAGCACCTCTCAACTCGTGCAACGTATTAATTGCATTCAAAGTGGCCACAACAATCTTGTTGACATTCTTCGAAAAACTTTCAACGAATTATCGCAGCAATTGGACGGTAATGGATAAAACAAAATTTAAGTAACAAAATTGGATACATTTTCGACTTCAAAGTTTTTTTTATTCATGTTTTTTTTAGTATGCATTGGTGAAATGTCGAGCAAATATGGTCAAGCATTTAAACGGCATTATTCTGTGCAAAGAGGTTTCCATGTGATATTGTTGATTGCAAATCACGCGGTGACACTTGAATTCCCCGACGAAATTGAAGTGGTGAGTGTTTCTTATAAAGTTTTGGCATCCAATTTAATTCGCCAATGACATTTTCAAACGATTTATGGTTAGTTCGACTCCAAAAGGAACACATGCTACTTGACAACGCCAGAGGTCAAAAAACTCAATATTCGTATCCAGGATATTATCGAAGAAATAACGCTTCAAAGCAACATGTACGGACTTTAAAAATTTTAAAAAAATTGAATTCGACGAAATTTGAGCGATAAAAAAAGAGATTCGATAATTGCAACTTTTTCATAATTTGGTTTCTCTTTGTTTTAACAGTGTCATCGCTCAGATGTTGAATGGAATTATGAAAGAAATCGATGCGGTTTACGATTTGAGTGGATACACTGCAACGCTCGATATCATTTTATCATATGCTACGGTATGGGCTTATGTTTCTTTCTTTGTCGATATTATGTTCTGTACACGATTTCAGTCAAGATTTTTTTTTTAATTTCATACGAAATCGTTGATTTGTCTTTATTATTTCTTTATCTTGATTAGGCCAGTGCAAATAACAATTTTGTTCGTCCAACATTCAGTGATGAAATGAGAATTGTTGATGCGATTCATCCCTTACTTGAAAAAAATATTCATCGAACAATAGCTACACCAAATAACATAGTAAATAAAATTTGAAAAAAAGGAGAAACAAAAATCTAAAAAAAGATTAATTTCTAGATTGCGACTCCAGAGTATAATTTCTTTATAATAACTGGACCGAATATGGGCGGAAAGACAGTTTACATAAAAACCATTGCTATTCTTCAGATTATGGCACAGGTAGTTTAAACCCTGGAGCAATCGTTGTCGTTTATTACAATTTAATTCATTTTTTGCACATAGATCGGTTGTTATGTACCAGCTAAAAGTGCACAATTTCGCATCACCGATCGAATCTTCAGTCGAATGGGATTCAATGACTCAATCCAGAAAAATTTGTCAACATTCATGATGGAGGTAGTATAAATTGACATTTTGTATTTTAATCAATGAATTCAATAATAATTCCAAATTTAAATGTAGATGAATAATATCGAGCACATTTTAAAAAATGTGACGTCAAATAGTTTGGTAATAATTGATGAACTATGCCGTAGTACAAATCCAAAGGAGGGCTCTCAATTGGCATGGAATATTTGTGAACATTTGGCATCGATTCGCGGTACTTTCAACGATGGAAAATATTTTGTAAATGAAAGCAATCAAATGTGCGACAATGACAATGGGACTGTGAACGGTGGCGTTTCTGTTGAAGGAGCATCAACTACAACACGTAGTTCAACATTGAAAAATACAAATATCAACGTCATTACAGCACCGTTCATCTTTCTGACCACCCATTTTCATAGTCTAACCAAATTGAGCGATCCATTCTTCAATGTTGTGAAGTAAGCGTTGCGATTTTCCACATGACATTTCTTTAAAAACTGAATGAAGAAATTTCTTGTGTTTTTTTTTTTGTTCAAGTTTAAGTTTCTCTGCTGAACAAATTACAAACAATGAAAGTGGAGGACATTCCTTGGTGTACAATCATCGAATTCAAGTGAGAGTTTTTATTTATCTTCATTCTGTCTAAATTCATAGTGTAATTTGTTGGAGTTTTCAGGAAGGTGTTACTACAGGCGTGACAAGTTATGGTTTGGCTATTGCCAAAACTGTACGATTTCCAGCTGATATCATGGCCCATGCCACTGAACTCAATCAACGTTTTATCAGCGGTGAAAATTCTCAAAATATGGTTGAGTTTAAGTTTCCAAAAGCAAGAAATGTTCTTTTGACATCATTTTTAATTTCTTTTTCGTATTTTTCTAGACTCAAAACCGGCCGAAACGCAAACTCTCAAATATAGGCCGACAAATATTGCATTTGAACCAGAATTTACGAGTTATGTCGATCGATGATGTGGCAAGCGTTATTTCGAATGGCATAAATACAGCGCATCGTCGTCGACGACGTCATTTTGGTGCACCATCAGAACGTACCACGTCAACCACAAGCACGGAATATGAAGATCATTTAAAGATTGACCGTATTTTATACAATGCATACGGTGACATATCGAGTTTAATACGAAACACTACTCTCGATTGGACGTTGCGTTATAATGATGAAATTAATGAAGACGTCAACCTCAGCGATGCACAAAATATTGCCATCCAAAATTTTCTTGTAACATTTGTTGAAGAGCATCAAGATGGTTTGATTGAAGCGCTTGGAAATTTGAGTTTATCAAATGAAATGCCAGAACCACTAGCGCCAGCGCCAGCACCAGCATCACAAGCACAACAAAATAATGTACAAGATGAAATATCACCGATGAATCCAAATATTGAACGTGATCCAGACGAATTATCATCAATTTTATCAGTTCAACGTCTCATCGTTCCGAATGTTGAGTTGAGTGGCATTAATAGTTTTACATCCAAAGCGGCCAAAATTTCGACTCCGTCACGATTATCATTTAGCCCAAAAACTCCGCCAAGATCTGAGACCAGTTCCAGACCACCATCATCAGCGTCCAAAACATTTACAATGCGTCGAAGTCTGTTTGACTATAACGATTCCCAGTCAAGCTTTTCATCTTTTCAAACCAAGTCACGATACAGTTCCAGTAGTTCAAGCAGTTTTAGCACAATGTCTTCGCCAATGAGTCTAGATGATTCGTTTTTCATTCAACCGACACAATTGAATAACTTCGGAATGAATTTTGATTTCAGCCAAAGAAATAACACACAGTCTTCATTTAATGAACCCACATTTATGAGATCTCAATCACAAAATGACCTATGTACGCTACCAGGTGGTGATGAGAATATTTTCTCAAGCAAATACTTTTCGCAAGCTGATGGTTTTGACGATTTTGAAGCACGCACACCCAAATTACCATCATCGCCGCCAGGAAGCCGACCAATGTCACGATCATCACAACATTCACGACCGGATTTAAGCAGAATCAGACAAATGTCTGGCCGATCGCTTGTCAATCTACCCACCGCATCAAATTCAGGTAATTTACATCATAAGTTTTATTTGGAATTCAGTAAGACACCGGTTTATCTAAACAGGACGGAGTTCAGCTAGTTCAAGTTTTGGAAAATTCACAATGGACTCTTCATTTCGCGGCAACAGTCGATTAAGCAATTCTAGCGATCATGAAAAGGCGAAACGAAAAGTTCCACTCATTCGAAAAGCGAAATTGAAGACATCATCGGTTTTCGGTGATACGTCAAAGATATTTGCAACACCTGCACCAGAAAAAATTGCAGCAATTCCGAAACCCAAACCGCCGCCCGCAAATCAAAATCAATTCAATGTACGTCAAACTGATACAAGTTTTACGGCAACAATGCAACGATTACAGGTTTGATACAATTTTTTATTGCCACTCAGTTGGTTTTTCATAATTTTCAACTTTTTAATTCATCCATTTTATAGAGAATTCAAGCCAGAAAACATTCATCTGGAACAAATGCCAACAACACGGTGAATCAACCGAATCCACCAAATCGACTACCTTCAATCCCCCAAATCAACCAACAACAAGCTGATGCTGATGAACAGCCAGCGCCACCATTGACCCCACCACCAGGATTTCAATAAAGTCGATTTTGAATTCGAAATTTGAACAGCATTCTGTTCCACGATCGTATCAATTTATAAAAATCGCGAAATTACTCTGAATTCAACGGATCAAAATGCAAAAAGTTTCTACTGACATCGAAATTAAATACGAGTAGGAAAAATGTACTATTCGAATTAATTTGTGAATAAATCATATATTTCAATGTTAAAAATACGTAGAATAATAAAAAAATTTTATAACTTTTCAACGATAAACTGGATGTTTAGTTAAATTTGACAACTTGTTAATAAAGACCGAACCATAGTTATTCTATAGAATTGAATGAAAAAAAAAATGTAAATAAATATACAATGATTGAGTTGGCGAATATTTTAAATGAGGGACAGTAAAATATTTTATTATCACCCATACTTCGAGTTGTAAAAACAGTCGAAAAAAATGTGAAATAGAACTTGATGTGTGTTTATAAAAAAATGTGAAAAATTTGTTGAGCCTCCATTTTATTTTCTCTCCTTTTCTCGGCAATTTTCATCGATGTATATGTTATATGTTGTAAAAGCTTTGATCGTAGTATTTTTCGTCAAAATTCCTTTCATATTTTTCGATATGTATGTTTCTTTGTGTCCAGTCAAACCGGCCACTATCACTCAAGAATTTTCTACGTCAAACAAGCGACGAGAGCCGTATGATATTTTTATGCGTTATTGCATAGTGTCCATATCTCTGAGAATGAACAAATCCCTATAATCTTGTTGCTAAAGTTTTTATTTGTTTTCTTTTTTGATGATTTCATGCATAACATGAACATGTTAAAACCATTGTTTTGCTTGCCATCGAATGGTGCCATGCTGCTCTCAATTTATGCGATGAGTTTTTTTTCTTTCAGATCATCGACCAAACTTATTTCTGAATGTGAGGAAGAAAACAAAAACCAATAAAAAAAAATGTATAAACACATTGCGGAAAACAGAGTTGAGTAATCCATGTATGATGAGAGTGACCCTATCGTTTTTATTTGTAGGCTTCAGTTCAGACAAACAACAACAAAATAATATCAACAATATTGCATGTGTGTGTTCTCTGTTCTCAGTTGAATGCATCAACCACCGAAAATCCATATATTGAACGATAGAAAATGTGATGAGACCATAAAAAAATGTTTGAGACAGACCAAAACAGTATCACAATTACTATAACACCCGAAAAAAAAATCGCATAAACATTCAAACGTTTACTTGGTTCTGAGAGAGACGAATTATGTAAACAGGTCAATTTTTGGGATCACACAAAATACTTCTATCTTAACTGCAACATGGATCGAATTTCTTTGATTGCGCGTACTTCAATAGTCGAGATTCAGTGAAGAAAAAAAAGACACACATACAACCGTCGTCGGCCGAAAATGTTTTATTTAACTGCGATGACCCTTATAATACTAAAATCATCTCTTGATCTAATTCGATTGCATTGCAAACGAAAGGGAAAAAATTATGTAATATTGGGCTTTAATTTTAAATTTGCCTTTTGCTCCTTAATTCCATGTGACTTGTTTTTTTTGTTGCTAAAAACCATCCGTGTTCACCGCTCCACTTTCACATATAAAAACCTACACATTATAATCTCTGTATTAACATGGTAGTTCCTTTCTTATCGGGTTACGTATATTGTGCCTAAAATCAGTTGTTTTTTTTCGTCGTACAATTGCTGTTACGGCAAGCCACAAAATGTCAATGGCTTGAATGAAACAAGTATGTACGTTCTTAATTTGCGCAATAAAATGACACTCACTGCTATAGCAGCACCCTATGCGGGGAAAATCGGTCGTTCAATCTTCTCTTATGACAAAATCACATTGTCGAAATTAGCTTTTGAAACTATCGTTTATTATCCATCCATCTCAAGAGATTTTCGCCAAGCAAACGAGTACAAATTGCCAAAAACCGGATAATGTAAACGGCACATACACAAGAAACAATGACATAGACACCATATCAATGATGCGCTCCAAATATCTTTTACACTTTCGCATTCTCTTCGAGCAATTATCCATTATTAATATTGTATTGTTTCTAAGGCTTGTCTTTTTGCCTTCACTTTATTAGATAATGAATGAATTGCAGATTAGTAAACAAGTACGGACTAACAGAATTAAATGGTAAGATTATTAGTTTAAATTGATGAATTTATGGGTGATGCTTGTAGTCTCTTGAGTATCGAAGCACGAAAAACGCCAATGAGGTGAGATAAAGGGGCGCCGAAGTGCTCACGATTCGACTTGCGATCAAGGTGTAATAAGGGAACGAGAAGTTGAAATTTATTGATGCTTTTTAAGACCGATCTCCGTTTCGCACGATTTACAGCTAATTATCCCTTTTGAACGGTGAAAATCACTCAAATCAATTACTGTCTGAACAAAAAATCGATCGACATTTTTGGCAGCCAACCACTTTTGCTTTATTCACCTTTCAACTTTTTTTTTCTATTTCATTATTCCAAAAAACGGTGAATTTCTTTGACCCGATGTAATGTAAGCGCCGTTCACAAACATAAATTCTTACGTCGGTGGCGATAATGGGAGCAAAAAAAAATCCAATTCAAACAAAGGAAATAAAGAGCAAGAGAAAGCGAAAATCGTAGTATATTGCAAAATTTGGCTTGATTTATGAACAAATTCAAATCACATCGAAAACTCGCTTGCGATAAGGTTGTTGGTAACTGAAGAAAATTATGTAAGTATTTATTTGGTGTACAATTGTTTTTTTTTCTGCTTGCAATTTTTCTTCTCTTTTTCATTTTCTATTTGTTGAAAACAAATCTGAAATATGTTAGAGAGAGAGAGAGAGAGAGAGAGAGAGAGAGTTCCGAGTGAAAAATCGTTGTTACTTTTTTGGTTCTTTAACTAGGAGCAAGCTTTCTTTTTCTATCTCATCGTTCCAAACGTGGGCTTAGTTTTCGATGAGGACATGTGTTTCGCGTTCGTTCGTTGGTTACTACTCCGCCCCACATTCACTCCGTCTCAGGTGTTTACAGATTATCGTTAAATTTCTTTTTTTTTCATTCTTCTCTCTTCTTATATTCTTACAAATCGCTTCTCTTTATACATTTCACTTGCGTCGGTTTATATTTATTAGAAAGTGTATGCCTTTTTCTCTGTCCATACATAAATATATATTCTCTCCCTCTCGTTGAAAAATGGTGGATAATCATAATTTTCTGTTGTACATTACATTTATAAAATAAATATATATTTTTTTCATCGTATTTATTTTTGTATTTTCATGTATTTATTTGCTGGTCCAGAATAACATATACACACACACCGACATCCAGAGAGAATCACCAGAACAGTGCAGTAAATTTGCAAGTGTAATGTGTGAAATGTGCACACACCTGATGCCATTGTCGTTTGCACAAAATGATAAATCCATAAGCCAATATTTAAATCAAGGCATTTGAGATAGAGTGGCAAACATACGACGAGGGTAATGATGTTAGATTATTTGCTTGAGTTTCGATTTAAATGCGTGTGCGTGCATGCATCTATATGCCAGTCTGTGAACTCTGAATATTGCTCACAATTTGACGAGGTGGCTAGTTGACTGGTCAGTCCTAAAACATGATACAAATGACTTCATCATTTATCCGAGAAACCATAAAATTAATTGCTAGACCACGGACATTTTCCACAGTCGACTTTGCGTGAGGTTGCCAAATCACGTGGCTTCTTTTAACTCTTTTTTTTCTCAAGTTTTTTAGGACCGCCTTCTATACAAAACGATGTACAGGTAAATGTTAACCTTTTGAAATTTGCTTGCGTGATGGGCAAAAACAAAAATTAAATTACCTGAACGACAAAAATGACGATGACAATCGAAAAAGAAGCAGATTTCAATTGTGTCACTCGATTTTTTTCAATTCGTCAATGATATGAACGCACTTTGGCATTCACGTTTCAGCGTAATGGCAATTTAAAGGTCCCCAGTGAATTGCAATCATTTTTTTCACTGACGTGTCCCTTTTCGGTTGGATTTTTTCCCTCCTACTGCCTCCACTTTCAATTGAAATTTAAAATCCGAAATCATTTGTACACAAACACTGTTGATTTGGAGAAGAGTGCGCGAGTTTCAATCATTTAAATAAACGTTGCCGGCTTTATTATGTGTGTATGACACATTCGAATTGATTGTCACATGGGAATGAGATTGTGCGAAAAATGTTACAAAAAAAATACACCAACGAATGAATATAAAACCAAAATATATATTTATTGTAAGGATTTCTTTTCCAATTTTTTTTTCCTTTTCATTTCGTATATTTCTCGGTATTTTGAGTGATGTGATACGGAGAGAGTTGGAGTGAGAAGAAAAAATAACGGGAATTTAGCAAGAGAGAATCATATTTTTGAACGCACACACAAAAATTATGATGAAAAACAAAACAAAGTCATATTATTTATTCGCATATCCGATTTCCCCTTTTCATTCTACAATCGAAAAAGTGTGTGGATTTTTATTACGTGAGATACGTACTGCAGTCGGTGGTTATTGTCATCGTCAAACATTGACATCGTATGTTTATGTATCATTCGGTTGTAGTAGATACATTTCGGCAGCTAATGCCCACATCCACACACAAACACATGCATTTTGTATTTGGATGGTGAATTACAAGAAAATTCATGTATTACATATCATACTACTAACCTCCATATAAATTGGGATTTAGTTTTCACTAGAAGATTTATACGATTATTTGGGATTAGACGCTGTTTGGGCTGAACATGCAATGCCATCGGCCGCAGCAGTAACAGTCGACAATTGGTACTGATCGAGTATACCCATAACGATGCCAAAGAATGCCTACACTCCATTTTGCCGCACACAACAGTTTAGAAACTATGTGCCTCTATATAATATGTGCTAATGATTACAAACACACAATTTATAATAAGGTATTGTTTTCAAACAGATAGACAGACAGAGAGCAATGTGTGATTTGTACGAGTTTGTTTTTTTCAGATACCCTTGCCATGGTCTGTGTAGTGTGTATCGAGACTCAGTCAATGTGGGCTCTTCTCTCATATGTGCGAGATTGACGAAGT